CAAGTTCAAGTTAGCCTTTATTGGCATAAAATAACAGTAGGTAGGTAAACCAGCAAAATAAGAAACCCTAATGTATATGACTATGCTGTACTTAGCCTTCTCTAGGCATTCGGCTTCTTTGCATGAGGGATCCCTCCATCTACAACAGCTTCACAATAGCTCTGCTTCCTAGGAGTGAACCCCACTTTGGGCAAGGCCTTTTATCCCTTCTTCCTAGGCAACACCCTCTCCTATTCTACTGGTTGTCAGTATTCCCTCCCAATCCCCTGTTAGCCAACCCCAGTGTCCAAAGGAGACCTGGGAAATGTAGGCCCTGATAGGTACTCTGCTACAGGCTTCCCTGGAGCCACTAGGCCTCTCTAGAGCCTGTAGGCCGCACTACAGTAGGCTTGGGCTCATGACAAGCCCATTCCTTGACAAGGAGGGGGTTTCCATAAAATCTCAGTCCAAGAAGAAAAGTCAATCAAAATAAGAAGGAACAAAGGCCTCCATCATAACCAGAGAATCTACTCTAGGGAAAACGAAAATGGAAGTGTGGCCTTTGCAAATATCTCCAATCATAGAATAAACATAATTTTGTGGATGCAAATTTCCTTAGGAGAGAAATTGTGTAAGTGTTTGGAGTGCAGAAAGAGCTTCATTTGGAAAAGAGCACTTAGTTCACATTAAATTAGTCAGGTGGGGAGCCGTAGAAATGGTCAGAGTCCAAACCAAGCGTCTCTGATGCAGGAGGATTAATGTATTTTGAAACTGTATTTGATTGTATACTTCAGTGTACAGCAGGAAGAAGTCACTGAAATGTTTGGAGTGTGGCTGCAACTTTAGGTGCAGATCAGACTTCCTTGTGTGAATTCTAACAGGATCTCTCTCTCTTTCTCTCTCTCTCTCTCTTTCTCTCTCTTTTTATTCCAGCAGGGAATGATCAGAGGAATGAGGAGGATGAGGAACTGTATCATCTATCGCCAGATGAAGGCAGGAATGAAGATGTGAGCAGAAACTTCAGGATTCAACACAGGCCTAGGAGGCAGAAAGTCAGCCGCACGGGGAAGAAGAGGGATAACTCCATTCCTTGCCAAGGGGAGGATTTCCAAGAAGTAGCTCACATGATGGAGAAAACACACAGGTGCTTGGAGTGTGGAATGAACTTCTCCGATCAAACCCAATATAATGTCCATTTCGGAATGCACAGTGGAAAGAAGACCCATCAATGCCTGACGTGTGGAAAGACCATGATTCGCAGAACAGAGTTCCTTAGACATTTAAGAACACATACAGAAGAGAAACCTTATAGCTGCTCAGACTGTGACAAGAGCTTCTCAGAGAAATCAGACCTTCTTCGACACCAAAGAATTCATGCAGGGAAGAAGCGCTTTATCTGTTCAGAGAGCGGAATGATGTTCTTGGATGGAAAAAAGGGTAATGTACATTTCTCAAAGCACAATATAATGAAGGCATGTAAATGTTTTCGGTGTGGAAAGTACTTCATGTACAGGTCACAGCTTTTGGTGCACCAAAGAATCCACTCAGGGGAGAAACCTTTCGAATGCTCAGAGTGTGGGAAGAGATTCAGCAGAAGTGGCCATCTTCAGAGTCATCTAAAAACTCACACAGGGCAGAAGCCATTTGAATGCTCAGCGTATGGGAAGAGATTCAGTGACAGTAGCACTATTCATCAGCATGAAAGAACCTACACAGGGAAGATGCCTTTTGAATACTCTGAGTGTGGGAAGAGATTCAGTCACAGTGACCATCTCCAAAATCACCTAAGAACCCACACAGGGGAGAAACCTTTCGAATGCTCGGAGTATGGGAAGAGATTCAGTGACAGTAGCACTATTCATCAGCATGAAAGAACCTACACAGGGAAGATGCCTTTTGAATACTCTGAGTGTGGGAAGAGATTCAGTCACAGGAGCACTCTTCAAAATCATCTAAGAACCCATACAGAGGAGAAGCCTTTTCAGTGGTCAGAGTGTGGGAAGAGATTCCATGACAGTAACATTCTTCAACAGCATCAAAGAACCCAAACAGAGGAGAAGCCTTTTGAATGCTCAGAGTGTGGGAATAGATTCAGCCAGAGTAGCAATCTTCTACGGCATCAAAGAACCCACACAGGGGAGAAACCATTTCCATGCTCAGAGTGTGGGAAGAGATTCAGTGACAGTAGCACTCTTCAAAAGCATCAAAGAATCCACACAGGAGAGAAACCTTTTCCATGCTCAGAATGTGGGAAGAGATTCAGTGACAGTAGCAATCTTCAAATTCATCTAAGAACTCACACAGAGGAGAAGCCTTTTGAATGCTCAGAGTGCGGGAAAAGATTCAGTCAGAAGGGCACTCTTCAACAACATCAAAGAACCCACACAGGAGAGAAACCTTATGAATGCTCAGAGTGTGGGAAGAGATTCAGTGAAAGTAGCACTCTTCAACGGCATCAAAGAACTCACACGGGGGAGAAGCCTTTTGAGTGCTCAGAGTGTGGGAAGAGATTCAGTCACAGTGGCCATCTTCAGCGTCATCTACGAACCCACACGGGGGAAAAGCCTTTTGAATGCTCAGTGTGTAGGAAGAGATTTAGCAACAGTGGCAGTCTTCAAATTCACCTAAGAACTCACACAGGGGAGAAGCCTTTCGAATGCTCAGAGTGTGGGAAGAGATTCAGTCAGAGTAGCACTCTTCAAAAACATAGAAGAATCCACACAGGGGAGAAGCCTTTTGAATGCTCAGAGTGTGGGAAGAGATTCAACAACAGTGGCAATCTTCAAAGTCATCGAAGAACCCACACAGGGGAGAAGCCTTTTGAATGTTCAGAGTGGGAGAAGAGATTCAATCACAGTGGCCATCTTCAAGCACAGTGGCCATCTTCAACAGCATCAAGGAATCCAGAGAGGGCAGAAACCATTTGAATAAAAAGAGATTTAGTCAGCATGGCTATTTTCAACAGCATCGAAGAACCCACACCAGGAAAAGTCTTGTAACTTCTTAGCCCAGGGAGGGATTTCAAATTCAGTTATTAGAGGATATGATATAAATGTCATTTTGTCTCGCTGGGCCATGTTGCCACACAAAGTAATACCAGGTACCAGAGATATGAGCTTTACAAAGGGCATAGGCACATCCAATTAACAGTATTTTTTAACACAGTATACAAACATGGTTAATAATTAAGAGTCTTACATTATTTCCTTTATTTTATAGTCTTTGGTAACTGACCTCTCTTTCTCTGAATTATTGCATCAAAATCTAGAGTCAGTTTCTGTGCTGTAGTAATCTTGAGTGTGCTGGTTAGGTGTGTATCTATAAACTGAGAACATACTTTTGATATATGAAGATTTATTCCAGAATAGAGCTGTTCAGAGACGTACGTTGTCCCAAACATAAACAGAATTTAGAAGCAAAAGCCTTAAATTGAAGGTAATTTGGACCCCAAAACTGGTAAAATTTGCTAATGTCAACTTCAGAAAGCTTATCCTTCCATACGGCTTCACACTGCTCCCCCTCCTACCTGTAATTTGTGGCATCTTTTCATTGGTCCGTTGGGAGCAGTGTGAATGTCCTGTTTTGTTGACTGTACTGACTCACTGTGTGTAATCCACCTTCAGTACGCCTCCCAATTTAGAGAAATTTTTCCTGTCCATCTCCCTCCCTCCCCACTCCTCAACAGTAGTCCTTTTCCCTCTCTGAAAATATACTTTGTCACTATAGTCGATCAGCAACTTTTTTCTCTCCAACCCGTAGAATATAAACGCTCCAAGGAACTGGAGCCACTGCCCTCAACACTAGCTCAATCCACCACAAAAATTGTGAACCATCCACAGATTCATCAGCCACCTGTCAATGACCAGACCTCCTAAATCATCCCTTTTCTTCCACCAACTGTGATTCATCAGCACCAAACCACTTGTCAAGAAATTGGACCTGTAGATCGAGGGAATGCTGTTGATGTTTACCTGTATTTCAGTAAAGCTTTTGACAGGGTTCCCCATGATGTTCTGATGGGTAAACCAGAGGCCCATGGACTGGACTCTAGGATAGTTAGGTGGATAGGGAACTGGTTGGAGAACCACACTCAGAGAGTACTTGTCAATGGTATTTCATCTGAATGGAGGGAGGTGTCCAGTGGGGTGCTACAGGGCTTGGTTCTGGGCCTGGTACTTTTCAATATTTTTATAAATTATCTGGATCAGGGCGTGGAGGGGCTACTCATGAAATTTGCAGATGACACCAAATTGGGAGGAACAGTGAACACACCAGAAGACAGAGATAGAATTCAACGAGATCTGAACACCTTGGAAAAGTGAGCAGATGTGAACAGTTGTGTGCAGTTTAACAAGGATAAGTGCCAAATTCTACATCTGGGTAACAAAAATTAGGAATTTAGTTGCTGTAGATTTTCCGGGATGTGTGGCCGTGGTCTTGGCATTGTAGAACCTGACGTTTCTCCAGTAACTGTGACTGACATCCTCAGAGGTATAAAAGAAAAATGGAATACTCTCTGTGTCAAGGTGAGAAGAAAATGGTAGGCAGTAAATTTATATCTACTCCAGAAGGTGGGGGTAGGGCTGAGTCATTGTCTTGTAGGAGTTCCCCAGGCTATGGACATACTAATGGAGGAGCTTTCCTGAGGACGTTCTTTTGTTTTCTGAGGAGGTTTCCTGCTTCCTGAGGAGGTTGTTGAAATTCTAATCTTATCTGTAGTGCTATTGTCTGATGTAAGCCTTTTTTGTTTTTCAGCCTTCGACAACATAAAAATGAGGAACACGCATATGGAGTGGGGGGGTACACTTCTAGGTAGCAGTGTGTGTGAACAAGATCTTGGGGTGTGGGTGGACCATAGGTTAAATATGAGCAGCCAGTGTGATGCAGTGACACTTGTCAGGGATGCTCTAGCCTGATCCTGCATTGAGCAGGGGGTTGGACTAGATGGCCTCTATGGCCCCTTCCAACTCTGTGATTCTATGATTCTAATTTCTTGTTCTTTCATTAAAAGCAATTCAGACCACATATTAATCTGGGGGGGGGGAGACCAAATGGAAATCAACTGGCTGATGATAGCGAACAGTTGGCAAATTGACCCTGTGACCTTTGAATAACAATTCAGGTACAGAGACAAACATTTTTTACCACGACAGGGCTTGGTGCCAATTCATCTCACACTCCTTCAATTGTTGCTGTGATTCAAAGTGCAAGAATAGATGGGCTAAACTGCTGATTTCCCCTCCATCCGGTCATAAACTAGGCCCCCTCCTGAGCCATCCACAGGTTCAGGTCAACATAACTTTAATGGTCTGGTTTTAGATTGGGCTAAAGAGTTGGACTATAAGGAAAGCTGAGTGCTGAAGAATAGATTCTTTTGAACTATGGTGCTGGAGAAGACTCTTGAGAGTCCCTTGGACTGCAAGAAGATCAAATCAGTCAATCCTAAAAGTAATCAACCCTGACTGTTCCCTGGAAGGCCAGATAATGAAACTGAAGCTCAAATACTTTGGCCACCAAATGAGAAGGGAGCACTCACTGGAGAAGACCCTGATGCTGGGAAAGACTGAAGGTCATCAAAGAAGACGGGGACGGCAAAGGATGAGATGGTTAGACAGTGTCATAGATGCAGCGAACATGAAATTGAGCAAACTTCAGAGGACGGCGGAAGACAAGAGGGCCTGGCGTGATCTGGTCCATGGGGTCGCGAAGAGTCAGACTCGACTGTGCGACTGAACAACAACAAAGGGCCCCAGCCCACTCAGATCTTAGGCGTTGAAAAGTTTAGTTTTACTACTCATTGTTGCTAAACACATGCTACCATGAGGAGATGAGCTAACCTCGAACGGACCGGGCTTCTGTCCGGCCACCTGCTCTCTGATCAGAGAGAGATGGTTTGCTGCCTGCCTTCAACCCAGGAATGTAACATCTGGTAATTGACCTAATGTGTAGCTAGTTAACTGTAGTTCTTTTGAGTTTTAGTTCTCACTGCTGTGTTCATTTGAAATATTCTTGCACACTCTAATAAATATCCTTTGATTATATTTGGGTGTTCCGTGTTCCAAGTGCTTCAGTCCTATTCCAGTGCCTTAGACCTTAAGTGACCACATTACCTGGTTAATGGTTTGTAGGGATTCATTCATTCTGCAAGTGGGTTGACTTCCTTGATTAATCCCAGTAAGATTAGAAACTTGCCCCTTACCTTCTGACAGTTCGGGTAGTCCAAGGAGCTGGAGGCAGATACTGAACTGGGGAGTGTGTGGACTGACACCCCAGGGTTTGGGGTTTCTTTTTTAATTTGTGCTCTGCCGGCCCCTACCAAGAATTCCCTTGGATTAGGGATTCTTAACACCCCGCTCCTCCAGATTCAAGTGTGTTCCCACTCCTTCCCTTGCAGTTCATTCCCACTTGGAGACCTGACATTCCACGAAGACACATGCACCCCATGGCTCGAGCATGGGGACGAACACCTGGGATACCCACGTTTATAAGCCCTACTCTGCCTTGGAAGCTGCTGGGTGGTTTGGGGCCAGTCACTCAGCCTAACCTACCCTGCACAGTTGTTGTGGGGACAAAAACACAGGTGAGGAAAATCATACTTGTAAATTCCTTTGGGTCCCCATTGGGGGAGAAAAGCAAGGTACAGATGCCTAGAAAATAAACTAATGCAACAAAATCACGTGAAGCCTTTAAGATGGTTCAGAATCAAGACTCCTGTTTTGTCTTAGCCTCCAACTACCAAGGTTCCCTCTGAGCTGTGCTAGGAGGTGCTAGTGCACAAATTTTTAGCCAGAAGTACAAGAATTTTTGCCTCAACCCACAAGTGGTGGCTCAAGTGGTTAAGACGCTGAACTGCAGGCTGTGGAAGGTCAGTAGTTCAGCCGCCCTGAGCCTTCGGGGTAGGGCGGGGTATAAATCCCGTCTCTAGTTCCAGCTCCTGCCAACCTAGCAGTTCGAAAGCAAGAAATTGCAAGTAGATAAATAGGGACAACTTCGGTGGGAATGTAACAGCGTTCCGTGTGCCTTGGTGTTTAGTCATGCCAGCCACATGACCACGGAAATGACTTTGGACAGCGCTGGCTCTTTGGCTTTGAAACGGAGATGAGCACCGCAACCCTAGAGTCGGACTTGACTGGCTTTCGAGCAAGGGAACCTTTACCTTTTTACAAGTTAACTGAGAAGGCATTTTTCCCCCTCCGTTGGATACAGTGGGGGATGGGAGGAACGTCATTCTGGGCCCAAAGAATTGGCCTCCCTGGACCAATCTTTTTGAAACTTGGGGGGGATGGATTTAAGGAGATGCATCAGCAGCTATGCTGCAAATTTGGTGCCTCTACCTAAAAAAACCCCTCAAAAAACAGCCCCCTGATGCCCCTGAATTGATTCTCCATTTTAGCCCGTGGGGCCCTTTGTCTACAATGGTCCCTCCAGCATGAGATTTCTGTGGTGACTGTCAATAAATCAAAAATAGGTTTGCAGCTTACAGAGCTACTGTTTGAAGCATGTTTTTATT